CGCCCTAGCTGGACGCGCGGGGCGCAACCTGGGAGCTCAGACCCCACGGAGTGTGCAGCAGCGCAAGGGGACCCGAGTCCAAGAAAACGCATGCATGGGAAGCCAAGTCCGGCAGACGCGCGTCTCCCGGGGTCGTGAAAGGAGCTGGAGCAGGTCGCGGGAAATGCAGCTAGCCGGCCCCCTGCAAAGCTCGCGCGAAACCCACGGGTTGCGGGCGCTGGGCGGCCCCTCCCTCCCCAGGTCCGAGCACACTCCCGGGAGATAAATGCACAATTTCGCAGTGGCACCGGACAGGCGAACACTGGGAGGATGGAGGAGAAGCCCTTCCGCCGCCTGCCCTAGGGGTCTCTGCTGGGGAAAGCAGGAGGAGCCGATAATCAGGCTTCTCAGGGTACCCCGGCGACTCCTTCGTAACTTCCTCGCCACCCCTCCCCGCGGCCCCCGCGCAGCCCGGAAGGAAGCCCCAGCCCCCTCCGCGGACTGCCGCGCGGGGCTTCGGAGCCGGGGCCGGCTGCTCGGGACTGGGAGGCGAGCACAGCGCTCGCTGCCGGAACTGCGCCGCCCGGCAGGGGTCCGGACCACGCACGAGTGGGGAGGTTCCGGCTGCAGCGCGCAGGGCAGGCGCGGAGCAACGCCGCTCGAGTGAAGCCGCCAGCCTTTTTGGACCCCAAAGTTTGTGCAGCACAGAGGGACCCTGACACCGCTGGGCCCACCCTCGCCGCCCCTCCTCCCGCTCCTCCGGGCCACGTCTCACCCACCCTCCCTCACCCCAGCCCAAGGCGGATCGCCCTATTTACAAACTTGGGCAGCGGGCGGGGGTCTGGAGCCCGCATGCACCTTAGACCCGCGCCCCGCCTACGTACATGAGCTCGGGACTCCGGCCGGACGCCGGACTCGCGGCTGGCGCGGGGGCAGCTGCGGCGGGCACGGCCCCGGGGCACCAGGGCCCATCCTCCCGCCGGCCGGGGACCCGCGCGGGGCGGACCGCGGGGAGCGCAGTCCCACCTGCGCGCTCCGCCCGGCGCGTGCACCCGGCTAAAGCGTCTGCCCCGGCGAGCTCATTCCGCGGCGGCTGCGGGCGCGACTGCAACTCAGCCAGTGCCCGCGCAGCCCTCCGAGTCTCGTCCCCGCGTCCCCGGGAGGAGGAAGCGCTCCTGAGCCCCGCCCGACTCTTCCCCGCCGAGCTCTGCAGACTGCGCCGCATCCAGGGGGACGGAACAGCCCCGAGCAGTTCGCAGCCTGGCTCCGAGCCTTCGCGCCGCCCCGCGCGTCCCGGTCGCCGGCTGGGGACCGCCCGCCGCGCGCGCCCCTGCGCCGCCCACCTATCCCCGCGCGTCGCCACCCACGGTCGTGGACCTCTCCCCTCGCCTAGTTTCCTTTACTCTTTAATTTCTGCCTCCCTGATCTGCCCCCTCTGGCTTTCTCCTCTCTGTGGACTGCTTGGCTTTGCCAGTGCTGTAAACCGAACTGTGGTGTGGAACCTGCAGACCGGTTCGCTTGGGCTGGAGGATGGGATTTTTGTTTTTGTTTTTCTTCATTGACATTCAGATACCTGGAGGTGTCGACTTTTCGGAGTAAGAAACTTATAAAAATCCAAGAAGCACACTTTGAGTCTACCTGCTCTGTCTTATACCACAAAGAAAAATATTTATTATTATTCTTATTAATTATTATTAATTTGTCAGAATGGTAAACTTTCAAATGGGGTCTGCGTGGCCGGTGTTTGTGCTTGCTCTTTGGTTCTGGTCATGGAATTTGCTTCCTAAGTTTCTGGGTTTTGATAAAGGAGTGCAGGTCAGTGGTGCCTGTTCAAAACAGCCTCTGAAACTTGGAGGTGGAATTTTTATAGAAATGCCCATCTCCAGGGCAGTTGTCAGCATTCCCGTTGTTTTATGACCCCTAAAACTATTCAGATGATAGACTTGCCACCTTTTGGTTTAAGGTCAGCTCTGCTGGGGGCTGGAGGGGGAGGGTGATTTGGGACAAATTATTCTTTCATTCTCTCTCCTGACCCCATCCCCCCTCCCTTGTACTTTCAGGCAGGGCTTCCCTGAATTACACAAACTGCACTCAGACTCGCAAACTTCCTGCCTCGGTCTCCCAGAGCTCTGGGGATCTCTCACCTGTCTTTCAGTCGAGCGAGGCACGTTTGAACGGGCTGCCGGAGAGAACAAGGCCTGGACCTGTGTTTCTTCTGCACCAAACAACAAAATAAAACTCAGTGAGGCTGGCTAGGAGTTTTCCAGAATCTTTAGGGTAATGTTTCACCTTCAGGAAGACCCCTCTGCACAGCGTAGTGGCACATATAATCCCAGCACTCGGGAGGCTGAGGCAGGAGGATTGTTGTGAATTCGAGACCAACCTGGGCTACAAAGTGAGTTCAAGGCCAGCCTGCAGTGCATAGCGAGACCTTATCTCAAAAAGACAAAAACAAACACACAGGAAGTCAGAGTGCTTCTGATTTGGCGTCTCTCACTCTGTCCTGTCCCCCTGGACATAGCAGGCACCACCTTGCCCATAGGCGGGAGCTGGCCGCCACCCCCTGGCCAGGGCTTCTCTGATTACAGTGGTGGTCAGCGACCCTCATTGCTGGGGCTCCCGTATCTTTATGAAGCCTCGGCTACACATTGCACAGCTCCTCCAAGATAAACGTGGGGGCGGCAATGCTCAGTGCGATGTGTCCAGTATGCAGGGACACGTGACACCTTCTGTGTGCTTATTCTGTTCCCAGCCTGTCTGTTTTACCAGCAAGTCTTCTCCAGGGTCACAGTGGCACCTACAAAGCTGTGAAGGATTCTACTGCCCCATCACTCGGGATGGGGTGAAGGGCAAATGACCTGTACAGATTAGTCCTGAGCCGGTCTCGGTTGCCTGGGAACTTGGCCCCTGCCCCCTGGCCACAGTGGACCTTCAGCTTGCAGGGCGGAAGCTAAGGGCTGTGTTTTCCACCTGGATTCCAAACTAGACTTTTCTGTGGGACTGCTTCAGAGGTGGTGCAGGAGGCAGTGAGTGAGGAGGGAGGCAATTTCAGGATGACTTTTCACCTCAGCCACTTAGAACAGGACCTGGACGGCTGGGGGGGCTGAAATCAGAAGAGCGAGTGCTTTGCCAGCGTGGCAGAAATTTGCCCTCTGCTTATGCCAGTGTGATGAATTGTGTCACCACGTCCTCCCCCACTTCTTTCCGATCTTCCTCTTCCCACCCTTCTGTCTTCCTTCCTTTCCTAGTTCCCTTCCAGGCCTCAGGGGGAGGCACGAGCAGGCAGATCTCAGGCAGCCAGGACACAGAAGTGTCCAGCAGGGTCACTTTTACAGTGTCCCACCAGTCACCCAGGTCTGCAGGTTCTTTGTTTTCTTGTGTTTAAAAGGAAAAAGAGAAAATCTCCAAATGGGCAGGACTCCCAAAGTGCTGTGAATGTCGTCCGTTTGCATCACCATGCTCTGGTTTAATCCAGTTCACCGCTCTGTTCTTGTTTTTGTGTGCTGGACTCAGATCTTGAGGTGAGACAGGCTCCTGGCTGCGGCCATCAGGGGCTGCGCTCAGCCCCGGGCCAGCCTCCAGCCTCACAGAGCAGGGGCTTGCAAGCAGGGTAGAGGGAGACTTGAAAGTCCCATCACCTTCCTGTCCCCTTAGGCAGCGTTAATCTTACCTTCTCTACAGAGCAAGGTTTCTGTCTGGGTAACAATCCTTTAAACAGTCAATTCCTTTATAGCTCGGGGGTATCTGTGCTCTCCTCTGAAATAGCTGTTTAGGGACTCTTCATCTTCCCATGCTTTAGTGTCTGGAGTCCTAACAGGGCTAGAGGAGTGGGGTGAGTGGAAGGGAGGGAGGAGGAGGGTAGGGAGGAAGACGCAGGGAGCAGTGGCTTGCGTCTGCCCCTCCCCCAACAAGTCTTTCAGGACTTTATCCCCAGATCCTGTGGTTATGGGTCCAAGAGAGTGGACACCTGATCTGACCCTGCTGTTTGGGGTTGGGGCCCTTGGGGAGGTGATTAGGATTAGATCTGTTCCTGGTTTGTAAAAAGCAGGAGAGGGGCCAGGCAAGCACAGTGCACTGGCTGTAGCTGTCTTGACAATGGCTCTGCTGCCTGACCGCTTGGCTAACAGTCTGACAGCTTCAGAACTGCAGGGCCAAAGAGGCCTCTTTTCTTTATAATGTGGCCTGCTTCATGCAGTTTCATAGAGTGCTGAAAGATAAGCTCACACAGAAGTGAAGGATGGAGAGAAGGGACCAGGAGAATAGGAGAGGAGGAGGGGGGATAGGAGGGGGGAAGGACGGAGCACTGCTGCGCACTTGCTGGGCCCCCGTACAGCACTGCGGTGCTCCCGGCTGTCTCCTTCAATGCCTCAGATAGTCCTCACCTCGGGAATCCTTCCTGTGTCCACTTCACCAGTGGGGAAACACACTTCAGTGGCATTGTGACCACCCGGGGTCACACAGGGAAGAGACAGGCTGGTCTTGCATCAGCCACTGTGCCTTGGCTCCCTCTCCCTGGCTCCCCACAGCTTTACCTCCTGGGCTGAGTTCCCTGAGGGAGAGCACAGAAAAGCCAAGGTGAGGCCAGGGCTGGAGCAGGCTGGGGTGCCAGAGACTCACTTGCCTGCTGCTGCACAGAGCCCACCTCTGCAGGGTTCAGCGCACGCTGGTCAATGAATTCTAGGATCCCTTACGAGGAGCACGGTGGCGGGAGGAGGAACCAAGGAGCAGGGTCACCTGGGGTGAAGAATTGAGACAAGGTGTTCTGGTACCAGAAGCTCTGAGGATGCTAGATGCACTCACGGACACACCATGGAATCGCCTGCTGGCGCGCAGAGTGGCGACTCGTT